GTGAGGAACATCATTGACGATGGTGAACGAGCCGTCGGGTGTAGGCCTACCTTTGTCCGTGTAAGTAGTAGTAAAACCCAAACTAGCGGGTGTTGCTGAAGAATATTCAGAGTTTCCTGCACCAAAAGTTTCCAAAAATGTTGGAGTACCATATGTGTCAGTGCAAAGACCTCCAGCTTTGATAGCTAAACGGAACAAGGAAAATATAATAAGAGACTGCTTACTGTTTTTTGGACGCGACTTATTGTAGTAGAGCTGTAACCAGATCAACAAATAGGTAACGGATCGACCCGTTCGCTGTAATCAGTCCGATGTTTCTGGAAAACTGTATTGAACCCAACAAACAATTTGAAATCTTTTAATTTTATCATAAGAGTTTTAGGCTATTTTCTTTCTGTGTACGTAGTACTAAAACTTAACGCAGCTGAAGCTAATGTAGAATATTCAGCTTTATCTCAACCAAAAGTATGCGGTAGAAGTGGAATACGCAATACATCAGTACAAACCCCTGGAGCTTCTATAAGTGAATGGGATAAAGAAACTTTAGTAGTACTTTGATTTCTGTTTCTTCCATGCGAGTTATTCTAGCAGAGTTATAAGCAGATCAACAACTAGGTAAGCGATCGGCCAATGGACTGTAACCGATCCGACATTTTTGGAAAACTCTATAAAACGCAGGAAACAATTCTGAATTGTTTTTGACTATATCAAAACATAGCCCTAACTTTTTAGGCTATGTTTCACATTCTTCCGAGACAACCAATTTGTCTTACTTGATATAGGTGCTCTGGTAGACGTTAGCGCCTGTGTAACTGGTTCAGCTTGTTTCGCTTGAAAGAAAGACAAGATACAAAAGTGTTTCAGCTAAAAAGATACACATTCGTCTTACTTGATATTGGTGCTGTGGTAGACTGCGGCGCTTGTGTGCCTTGACCCGCTTGAACACATGGAGCTAGTGATATATCATCAATAACAAAATCATTTCCACTACCACCAGGAGCATTTGTGACCATAACTAATGTAAGGGTCGTCAAAGGTGACACAAACGACATACCGACTTTCTTCCACTGAAGAGTCTGGGTCTCATTTATATCGCCAGAGGACATGCTTGCCACTGTATCATTTGTAGCGGTTACAATGTTAA